AAGCTCTCCTCCCGCACGCTTCCCTGTGTCTTCCTTGGCTTTGTCCCTGACGCGCCTGGCTGGCAGTTTTACCATCCCACCTCGCGCCGGGTCTTCGCCTCTCAGGACGTCACCTTTGACGAGTCGGTCCCTTTTTACCGTCTCTTCCCCTACCGCACTGCCCCCCTCCCTCCCCCGCCGCTTTTCCTTGCTCCTGGTCCCCCTCCGGTAGACCCCCTCCCCCCTCAGGGTCCTGCTCCTTCAGGTGTCTCTCAGGTAGACCCTCCTCCCGTCGCTGAGCCTGTCGAGGTCACAGGTGACTCAGGTGGTGCTGCTGGGAGTGCTGAGCCTGCGGGTGCTGGGCCTGGGAGTGCTGGGACTGCGGGTGCTGGAGCTGAGGGTACTGTGCCTGAGAGTTCGGCGCCTGGGGGTGCTGAGCCTGGGGGTGCTGCGACTGGGGGTGCTGAGCCTGCGTGTGCGGAGTCTGGGGGTGCTGAGCCTGGGGGTGCTGCGCCTGCGGGTACTGAGCCTGGGGGTGCTGCTACTGAGCCTACGGAGCCTCGGGTTGCTGCGTCTGGGGGTGCTCCGGTTCGGGGTGCTGAGCAGTCTCTCACACCGCAGCAGCTTCGTGACTGGTACGTCCGGCGCTTTCGCCGTCCTCGTGGCTCTGCTGGAGTTGGGGGTGCTGGAGCTGCTCGTCCTGGGGGTGCTCGTACTGGGGGTACTGGAGCTGCCGGGACTGGTTGTTCTGGGAGCACTGCGACTGGAGCTGCTGGAGCTGGGGACTCTGGAGCTGGCGGTGCTAGCGGAGTTGGAGCTGCCGGCTCTGGGGGTGCTCTTCCTGGCGGTACTGGAGCTGCTGGAGCTGACGACACTGGAGCTGACGGTTCTGGACACGGTGGTTCTGCTGGTTCTGGAGGTACTGGCGAGGGGAGGTCTGGCGCTGCCGGGGCCTCTGGTGCTGACGTCGCCGACTCGGGGGGTGCTGCGGCGGAGGGTGCTGGTCCTGGTGCTTCTGGTGCTGCGGGTGCTGGAGGTGCTGGCGGAGCTCCGCCGTCGCGCCTGTTCTTCGCTCCTCCGTCGCCGTCGGCTTTGCCGCCGCCTGACACGGTTCTTCGCCAGGTTCTTTCCCTCCCGTCTTCCACTGGCCTTCCCCTCCAGCCTGGCTCCCCCCTCCCTGCTCCTGTGCCTTACACTGCACAGCCGGACTCGCTTACGGAGCGTCGTGAGCCTGCGTCTCGTCCTGCCTCGCCTGTTCGCGCTGTTCGCGCTGCTCGCACTGCTCGCACTGGTCCCACTGGCCGTCGTGTCGCGCGTCCGCGCCCTCCTACTGTTCCTGGCACGCATATTATGGCCCTTCGTCCTTCCACTGGTCCACAGCGTGTCCCCCTACCGTCTCCTCCTGCGTCTTCTCTTCCTGACGTTCCCGACCCTGAGTCTGACAGTGTTCGTGCTGCCCACCCTACTGTTACGCGTCTTCTCGCCACTGTTGTCACTGACCCGTCGTTTGAGTCTTCTGCTGCGTCTGCCCTGGTCACTGAGCTTGTCGACTTTGCTGCTGCCTGTCGTCTAGACTACGCCGCCAGTCTTGTTGCTGGGTCTGAGTCTGTCTGTCCTCCGTCCGTCGGGGGTGAGTGTGCTCTTGGCACGGACGTCCTTGAGGACAGGCAGGAGGACTTTGACTCTCTTGCGGCTGCTGTACCTCATCTCGTGGCCTGGTTGCTTGCCCCTGAGGGAGACCCGGATGCACTAGACATCCCCACTCCGCGCACTTACGCAGAGGCGATCTCGGGTCCCTACTCCTCTCAGTGGCAGACAGCCATGGACGCAGAGATGGCATCCTGGAAGTCCACAGGCACCTACGTTGACGAGGTTCCCCCTCCTGGGGCGAACATCGTCGATGGCATGTGGATTTTCAGGGTGAAGCGGCCGCCAGGTTCTCCACCTGTCTTCAAGGCTCGTTACGTTGCTAGAGGCTTCAGTCAGCGTCAGGGGGTTGACTTCTTCCAGACCTTCTCCCCCACCCCGAAGATGACCACTCTTCGGGTTCTGCTGCACGTTGCTGCTCAGCGTGACTACGAGCTTCACTCTCTTGACTTCAGCACAGCGTTCCTGCAGGGCAGCCTGCACGAGGAGATCTGGCTGCGCCGCCCACCTGGCTTTACTGGGTCGTTTCCTCCTGGTACCCAGTGGAGCCTCCGCCGGCCAGTCTACGGTCTCCGCCAGGCGCCACGTGAGTGGCACGACACACTGAGGACTACACTTGCGGCTCTTGGGTTCGCGCCGTCTACTGCTGACCCGTCGCTGTTTCTGCGCACAGACACGTCGCTGCCGCCGTTCTACATTCTCGTGTACGTTGACGACTTGGTCTTTGCTACTGCTGACACTGAGGCACTCGCTCGTGTGAAGTCGGAGTTGCAGAAGAGACACACCTGCACTGACCTGGGTGAGCTGCGTAGCTACCTTGGCTTGCAGATCACCCGGGACAGAGCACGCCGCACCATCACCCTGACTCAGTCACACATGGTGCAGCAGGTCCTTCAGCGCTTCGGCTTCCAGTTCTCCTCACCACAGGCCACACCTCTGGCTACCAGCCACTCGCTCTCAGCTCCACCTTCGGACGAGTCCGTAGAGCCGAGTGGCCCGTACCCAGAGCTTGTAGGCTGCCTCATGTACCTGATGACTTGCACGCGACCTGACCTCGCGTACCCTCTTAGCATCCTTGCTCGTTACGTTGCGCCTGGGAGACACAGGCGAGAGCACTGGGAGGCTGCTAAGAGGGTGCTACGTTACTTGTGCAGCACATCAGGCATGGGGCTGGTGCTTGGAGGACGCGACAGAGTTGTCCTCACTGGTCACTCGGACGCTTCTTGGGTGGACGACCTGGCTACGCAGCGGTCGTCACAGGGTTACACCTTCAGCCTTGGCTCTGGTTCTGTCTCGTGGCGGTCCACCCGCTCTTCTTCTGTTCTCGGCTCTAGTTGTGAGGCTGAGATCTACGCCACGGCCATGGCTGCACAGGAGTTACGCTGGCTCACCTACCTGCTGATTGACTTGGGAGAGCGGCCTAGTTCTCCTCCAGTTCTGTACGGTGACAACAAGGCAGCCCTTGCCTTGTGTCAGGAGCACAGACTGGAGCACAGGACGAAGCACATTGCTCTTCGCTACTTTCTTGCTCGAGAGCTTCAGCAGCGCGGTCAGCTTCGGCTTGTGTACGTGGACTCGAAGGCCAACACTGCTGATATCTTCACCAAGGCGCTCCCGTCTAGTGATCATCAGCGGCACTGTACTTCTTTAGGCCTTGTGTCCACGTTTCCTCATTTGCTTACTGCTTGACTTTCTTTGTACTGTACTTTATATATGTTTTGCTGTTTGTCCTGCTCTATATCTAGTACTGCATGTGAACTGGCCTTGTGGCCTTTGCTTGTGTTTGTTTTGAGTGTGGTGACGTTGTGATCCACCCTGGGCTTGTTTTTGCTTTGCTGGACTGGTCTTGTGACCCTTTGCTCTCCCCACTTTGCCTATGGGGGTGTGTTAAGTTGTAATGTGTTATTTATATGTGGGTAGGCTGTAGTGGGGTAGCCAATACAGGGTACAAACCCAACTAGGGTTAGCTACTTGTACCCAACTGTTTCTTTCAATGCATCATTCTTGCCTAGTCCTGTTGATATAATACATTGGTTGGGTTGGGAGAACTTGTGGTGTACACTCTTTAGAGTGGACCACCTCCCAAACCCTATAGGTTAGGGTTCTCTCTTGTTAGAACTTCACTTCTTGGAAACCACTTTGGTTCTAGCATGGTTCATGCCCAAGTGGGCTCCTAAGATTTCTAGGCTTAAGGAGGAAGTTCTAAGACTACTAAAGCTTCCGCTAGTAGCTTAGTCCATTCTAACATGGTATCAGAGCGAGGAAGGCCTAGCAATCTGTTGGAATAGAAACTACTCAAGAAATTTGATCATAACACCTTGGTGGAAGCTAAATAGCTTCCATCCCTCCCGAAGGGCTGCCAAAATTTCACCGTGGCGGACTCTGGACGTGGGAGGGGAGGAGGAGAGAAGAAAACTGCTGGAAATCGTGTGGATCCGTTCGGGAGGACGAGAAGAGCGACATCCATTCACGGAGGCGCTCAGTCAACTTTGGCCGATCAAGACGTGCAGCATACCGTTCGAAAGGTCTCGGCACGATCTACAACAATTGCCTTGGGGTCGTTGACAATCGACAAGCGGATCGGACGCAATTCGCGAAATACAGTCGGAGGACGAATTGGAAAATCGCGAATCGGGGAAGATTTAAAGTGCTGAAAAAGGATTGGAGGGCAGACGCCGACAGAAGAGGCCAGGGCGCATCCAACAAGCCAAAAATCGGGAGAAACGGTCGAGTCTTCGTCGACGGAAAATCGGCCAACTTCGACGAGTTTAAGCGGCCAGTTCGGACGCGGGATCCAAGAGCGCGATACATCATCGGAACGGTCTCGGAGCAAGGATTCATCTGAGCCAAACGGCTCATCATTCAGACGTCCGAGCACGGAGTTACGCTCTAATAACCAAGAGGGTGTGAGTCTGCCCGCATCATCTTCACCGTCACCGCCGTTGCCTCCACCACCACCTCCACGTCAAACTTCAGTGCTCCTGCCGCAAATGGATCATGACTCAGGCGAAGGGAAGTTGGAGAGTGCGCCAAAGTTCGACGGGAGCGACTATTGGACTTGGAGCTTCCGATTCGAGCAATGGGCGGAGGCACACGATCTATGGGGGTATTTTGATGGTTCGGAGGAGCGACCTGCATCGGGTGACGCACGGCTAAAGTGGGAGGAGAGAAATCAGAAGGCATTTGCCCAATTCTGCAATGCCTTAGTGCCAGATGAGTTGATTCGCTTGGTACGGGAGTTCGGCGGCAATACCGAGTTGGGAAACGCACCTGTTGATGGCGGAGCAAGAGCGGTCACCCGAGTTCCTGCAGGCACAGCAGCGGCATACACACGAGTGAAGGAATTCTACCTTCAGCGTGGATTGTGTAACCGGATGGCACTCGCTGAGGAACTCTCTTCCTTGAAGATGAAAGAAGGGGAGGGAGTGGCTGCATACTGGGCGCGTGCCGAGGACTTGAGGTCCAAGTACTTGGCTGCAGGAGGGAAGGAGGAGGTTGAGGAGTGGATGATGAGGGTACTCAAAGGACTACCTCCTCACTTTGAGATGCTGAAGGTAGTGCTGAACAACCAATCATCATCGCTTACTAAGGATCAGCTGCTTACCTCCTTGAGGAGCGAGGAGATGCGGATTGGTGTCGCACCAAGATCAGATGGTGTAGCCACTTTTGGAGCGGGTACGAAAGTGGGCAGCAGCGGCAGGGGAAATTGGGACAAGGGAGGAAAGCATGGAGGCAGCAGTAGCAGCAGTGACACCAACTCGGGCAGATGGGGTCAAGGAAAAGGCAAAGCGGGGGTGCTTGATTTCCCCTGGGGGTCCAAGGGCATGGCTCCTCGGGGGTTGTGTCATGGCTGTTGGGATGAGGGACATGCGTGGCAACGATGTCCTCATCGACCTAAGGGAGGCATTCCGGCATTCTTAAAGCGGGGGGGCCGTGGATCCAACGGCAAGGCACAGGTGGCGGAGGAGCAGGATGACAAGGCAGAGGCAGTGGTTGGAGAGGCAGTTGCAGCAGTGGGAGAGGAGCAGCCGCGAGAGGGGTGGTGGATTGACAGTGGGGCCAGCCACAACTTTACCCCCTATGCATCGGACTTCAAAAGTAAGCTTCAGTCACCATAAGTTCGGGGAGTTAGATTGGGAGATGGACGGGTGGTGAAAGCTGTTGGCATGGGTGAGGTGCCAGTGGTTGGTGCTGGAGGTCAGCTGCTGAAGATTCAAAAGGTCCACCTTGTGCCTGAGATGCACACGCGTCTGCTGTCAGTCCCACACCTCACCTCTCGAGATGTCATTGTCACATTCAAGGGCAAGAAATGTGTTCTTAAACGGGGGGAGAGGGTGTTGGCGATTGGAGAAAAGGAGGGGGGCAGGGACCATGGATTGGTGCGGTTGTCTCTTCCTATTGCTCGGGGCACACAAGGCAGTGCTCTTGTAGCTGGGTCCTCCTTCTCATTTTCTCCATTGACCCTTGCTCATCGCCGCCTTGGTCACACCGCCCCCACAACATTGCAACAGATGGCTCGGGGGAACAGTGTACTAGGCTTGGAGATCGAAGAGGGGAGCACTGATTGTTCCCCATGTGAGCCTTGCTTATTGGGAAAGTCGGCTCGGAAGCCGTTTCCCCACGAGGCGTCTCGGGCACTTGGGCCTTTGGATGAGGTCCACATGGATTTGTGGGGGCCAGTGCGCACACCGTCACTGGGAGGAGCGGTGTATGTCCTCAGTCTCATTGACGACTTCACCAGACGAGTTTGGTCGTTCCCACTTCCCAACAAGGAATCGGCCACAGTCGCGAAAGTCCTTCGCTAGTGGCATACGGACGTGGAGTTGGAGTGTGGGCAGAAGCTGAAGGCTGTTCGCTCTGACAGGGGTGGCGAGTTCTTGGGGGACGCTGTGAAAGCATGGAAAGCAGAGTTTGGCATCAAAACCCAATTGAGTGTCGCAGATACACCGCAGCAGAATGGGGTCGTGGAGAGGTGGCACAGGACGATGGCAGAAGGGATTCGCACATTGTTGGTCGACAGTGGTCTCCCTGCTCGCTTGTGGGGTGAAGCATTGATGTGGGTCGTGTGGGTTAAGAACAGGGTCACCCACAGTGCTTTGCCTGCCTCCATCACACCAATGGAGGCGTGGTCCGGCCAGAAGCGGCATGTGGGCATGGCTCAGATTTGGGGTTGCATGGGGAGTGTCATGCTGCATGGGCATGAGAAGGGTGGCAAGCTTGATGCACGAGCTGTCATGTGTGTCTGTGTTGGGGTGGACATGGAGAGCAAGGGTTGGCGCATGCTGGACCCTTCTCTCATGCGCATTCGCATTGCTCGGGATGTTGATTTTCTTGAGAATGTGATGTGGAAGGATAGGGACAAGGCAAAGGGATTTGGGGAGCTTCTGCAGGATGCAGCTGCGATTTCCCAACCCCTCCCTCTTCCACTCTCGCCACCCTCAGCAGCGGCTGACGATGTTGAGATGCCACCTTCATCTCTGCCACCGGCACCGCTGAGTGTGTCGGTGCAGCAGCAGCCGACCCCTCTGCAGCAGCTCAGTGGCCCCTCGGTCATTCAGCGGAGATCCGCTACACAGGCTACTTCCTCTTCCTCCTCCTTTGGTCAGTGCTCTGTCCCTCTCTCTAAACGTGCCCCTCCGTCACCAGCGACTACCTCCCCACCACCGGTTACGGGTTTGCAGGTGCTTGGTATCCAGTCTGGTTTAGGTGGTGAGGAGGTAGGGGGGGATGCTGGTGTGGTTGAGGGCATGCTGTGTTTGGCCAGGGAGGTGGAAGGTGTTGCACTGGCAGGTGTGAGCACCGGTGATGTCCCACGCACACTCGCTGAGGCCCTGCGTGGCCCTGAGGGCCCTGCATGGAAGGCAGGCGCTGAGAAGGAGGTAAATGCAATGCGCACTATGGGTGTATGGGATCCAGAGCCGGTCGACTTACCTCCAGGTAAGAAGGCCATTGGGGTCAGGTACGTTTTCCGCAGGAAAACTGACAAGGAGGATAAGGTGGTACAGCACAAGGTTCGCCTTGTTGCTAAGGGGTACACTCAGGAGCCCGAAAAGGACTATGATCAGGTATTTGCCCCTGTGGGCAAGCTCACCTCAGGTCGGGTGCTTCTTGCAGAAGCCGCCGTAAAAGGGTGGCATGTACAACAGGAGGATGTTGATCATGCTTACCTCAATGCAGTCCTTCAAGAGGAGGTATATGTGAGGCAACCTGAGGGATTTGATGACGGTACAGGTAGGGTGTATCGCTTGCGCAAAGCTCTCTATGGGCTCAAGCAAGCGCCTCGTGCTTGGAATGAGGAGATTGGTACCACCCTGATTGCAGCAGGGTTTGACCGCAGTGCATGTGATGAGGCTCTGTACATCAGGTTTGTTGATGAAGAGCCAGTGTATGTATTGGTGTATGTGGATGACCTCTTGCTTGTGTCTCCACGCTTGGAGCTGATCGGTCAGGTCAAGGAGGTGCTTGCTCAGAGGTACCAGATGAAGGATCTAGGTGAGGTATCCACGTACCTTGATGTGGAGGTTCGCAGGTCGGTCAATGATGGGTGGTTGGAGATTGGTCAGGAGAAGTATGTCCGTGGTCTCCAGGGAAGGTTTGGTGATCTGCTGAAGGAGACCCATAGGGTGCATACTCCAATGTCACCCAATGATCTCTCTAAGATCAGGAATGGTACTTGGTCGACTGAAAAAGGTGTTGCAGCTGATGTCAAGGTGTACCAGAGTCTCATTGGCAGCTTGATGTATGCTGCTGTGACCACCCGTCCTGACATGTCTTTCACTGTCAACACCCTTGCACAGTCCTGCGTGGCACCAAGACGCATTCACATGCGCGCTGCACTGAGAGCACTCAGGTACTTGGTCGACACAGCTGATCGTGTCATCAGGTATGAGCGCCAAGGTGGTGAGCAGGTTGTTGGGTACACAGACTCGGATTGGGGTGGTGAGACTGATGGCAAGAGTCGCTTCAAGCTAGGAGGAGGAGCAATCAGCTGGTATAGCAAAAAGCAAGACAGTGTTGCAGCAAGCGTTTCTGAAGCTGAGTACAAAGCTCTATCGGAGGGGGCCAAGGAGGCCATTTGGTTGAGGAGTTTGTTGGTAGAGATGCATGTGGGGGATGGGGGGGGGGCTATTCCATTGCTCTGTGATAATGAGGCTGCTGTCTCCCTTGCCCACAATCCCGTTCTCCATCAGCGCACCAAGCACATTAAGGTGGCATGGCACTTTGTACGGGATGCGGTGCGCCAGCAGGAGGTCGAGGTGCACTCAGTACGCTCCCACCTCCAGGATGCCGACATGCTCACCAAAGCTCTTCCAAGCTTGCAGCTGCATGAGAACCTGGAGCGCATCGGCATGCGAGTGATGGCTGCGAAGGCCAAGGCTTCATTCGCTGGAGGGGTTGTGTTTTGATTTATGGGTGACCTTTAATGCTTATTGGAGCAAGGGGGAGTGTTGGAATTAAGGTTAATTCGGGTTGCTCCAATAAACATAAGTAGTGATACATCTATACTATAATAGTGTAGAATACATTGGTTGGGTTGGGAGAACTTCTGGTGTACACTCTATAGATTGGACCACCTCCCAAACCTTATAGGTTATGGTTCTCTCTTGTTGGAACTTCACTTCTTGGAAACCACTTTGGTTCTAGCATGGTTCATGCCCAAGTGGGCTCCTAAGATTCCTAGGCTTAAGAAGGAAGTTCTAAGACTACTAAAGCTTCCGCTAGTAGCTTAGTCCATTCTAACAAATCCCAGTGGGTGAAGGCGCTCCCCCACCGTTGGAGATGTTATCAAGGCACTCAGTAGTGCATTCACCGAGTGATGCAGCTTGAAGCATTCAAGTTGGGTGCACGCTCAACAAGAGTCGCCAGCTTGTGATTTGACTCGCGATGCTTTCCCAGCGTGCAGGGCAAAAGCCCACCATTGGCGATTTTATTGAGGTACTGAGCATCCTCTGAGTTATGCAGACTTGACCAAGTACCGGTATGCATCAGAGGTCCTCTATGGGCTTTCACAGACAGCCCTATAGGACTGCAATAGTCAAGGATACCACCACGAGAATTCTGTGCTCCCACAAAGGTCCAAGTATTGAGAACCAACTGACAATCAACAGAATTGCATCGCCAAGGTTGGAAGGGATCTGATCTGCTCCCCTAACCTCAGCCATGGGTCTCAAAAAGACTCCCCAATCAATACTTCACCCTGCACATAGCTCACACTACCGGCACCTCCTTTCCCCCTGTACACCTTCACTTTTGTCACATTAATCCTATCTGCCTTCTCCCAGATGCCGCCTCTTAAATTGCATGCACCTACAGGTGCCACCCCCAAGAACCTTTCACTGTAATCACATTCATCCTATCCACCAGCGACTGTGGCAGCTCCTTCAGCTGCCCACACCTGTCCAGATCCACCTCCCTCAGATAGGACAAACTGCCCAAGTCGCAGGGCAGAGCCCTCAGGCGCTTGCATCCTTGCAGGGAGAGCGTGATGAGACGGGGGAGGGAGAGAGGGGAGGGGAGGCGGCGGAGGAAAGGGAGGCGTGTGAGTGTGAGAGAGGCAAGGGTGGAGAGAGGGGAGATGGAATCCGGGAGACGGGTGAAATTAGGGCAGTCTGCGATGGTGAGACGGATGAGGGAGGAGAGGAGGGTGACGGAGGGCGGCAGGGCTTTAAGTGCCTGGCAGGATTCCACGCACAGATCGCGCAGGGCTTGAAGCTGCCCGATATTTTCGGGCAGGTGGGTCAGCAAGGGGAGGAACTTGAGTGTGAGATGCTGGAGATGGAGAGGTTAGTGAGGGAGGCGGGAAGGGAGGCCATGGCAGGGCACTCTTCTAGCAGCAGCACTCTCAGCTGCGCCAGATTGTCCAAGGTTTCAGGGAGTGCAGAGAGGTTTAAGAGGGCAATGTGAAGATGCTGCAGAGAAGCAAGGAGATCCAATCTGGCCGGCACATCAGAATCGAGATCAAATGTTTCAGAATGGTCATTGTGGGTGACTTGGGCATGGGCTGGGGAGTGGGTCACAAGCGGAGGGTCTATCAGCTGCTGGAGAGATGGAAGGTCGTAGATGTTCAAGTGGGTGAGTTGGCCGAGGGAAAGAAGGGACTCTGGCAGGTACTGGGCTGACTGGAAAACATTAGAGAGGGTGACGGTTTTTATGGAAGTCGGAAGGGAGATGGGCGCAACAAGAGGAGGGGGGGGGGAGGAGGAGGTCGATGGTGGGGACAGTGCGGACATGACCATGTTGGTGTTTGGGGATGAGGATGCGGGGGGTGGAAAGGGGCTCGGGTGTGTGAGTTCTAGACTGCTGCAGCCTTCAAGAGCCAAGTGTTCCAGCCTAGGCAGCAGATGGAGGCCCTCTGGGAGGCTTCTAAGGCGCGGGCAGTCAGATATCTCCAGCTGCTCCAGTGATGGAAACGGGGGAGTGCCAGCAGCAGCAGCACCAGGAGCAGGAGGAGGAGGAGCAGGGAGATCAGACTCCAGAGTAGAAGAGTCTCCTGCAGGGTAAGAGTCTGGTTGGGAGTGGATAGCAGCGACGGGAAGTGCCGCAGCTGAGGGCACTTCTTCACCTGGAGCACTCTAAGGCTGGCCATCCCCCCCATGCCTGCAGGCAACTCCTCCAGCAGCTCACACCCCTCCAAAACAAGCTCTACCAGACCCGTGAGGCGAACCAGGGACCGGGGAAGCATCTGGAGGGCACAGGCACCTTCCAGCTCAGGCCCGTAATCCGATTCGCTGCCGGTGTCGAGCCTATTTGGGCTGTACGTTGCCTTTGTTCCGATCCTGAGCAAGTCCAGGCTCGGCAGGTCCCCGAACCTGTCCGGCAGGCTCGCAAAGACGCAGTTGAAGAGGTAGAGAGTACGTAGCTTCGGGAGTGTTTCAAAGCCCGGAGGGAGGTCTACAAGAGAAGCACCACCGCAGATGAAAAGGGTCTCCAAGGAATTGAGATTGGTGAAGGAGTTTGGAAGCTCAAGCAGACTGTTGCATTCCATAAACACTAGTTCCTTCAGCTTCCCCAGCTGCCCGAACGAGTCGGGCAGAGTCACGAGCTTGTTACTGGACAGCTTCAGCGAAACCAGGCTTGAAAGCTGCCCGGTGTCTCCGGGCAGCTCGTGAAGGTTGCAGGCATCAAGAACGATGCTTGTGAGTGACTCCATAGCGGAGACAGACTGTGGGAAGGCCGAAAGCTCACAGCAGTCTATCACATTCAGCTCCTTGAGTTGAGACAGAAGGCCGATAGAGTCTGGAATAATCTTAAAATCCCCAAACATTTCCAGATTCAGGTACTCTAGAGTGGAGATTTGGCCGAAATCTTCAGGCAGGGCCGTCATGCTTCCACAGTTGTTGAGGGTTAAGCTACGGAGGCTTTGACTTGAGCAGAGGGAGGCTGGGAGCTGCGAGAAATCCCAGTTTTGAAGACGTAACTCCTGCAGAGCGGGCAGCTGCCCGAACGAGTCAGGAAATGAAGCGGTTGAAGTTGAGATTTCTACCGCTTCCAACCTTGACAGATGATGGAAGTTTTCGGGCAGCTTCAAAAAGTCATAGCAGTACAGGAGCGAAAACCGCGTGAGGGCTGGTAGCTCGCAGAAGGATTCGGGCAGCTCACGAAGACCGTCTACAAGCGAGAGTGTGAGGCTCCTTAGGTTTCGCAACTGCCCGAAATTCTCGGGTAGGTGGGCCAAAGGGGACCTTTGAATCTCCAAATGCTCCAGAGCCGTTAGATCGCAGATGGAATCGGGCAGAGCTTCAAGAGAATCTAGTTCAAACTCCAACCGTTTCAATCGCAACAAGCAGCCGAATTCCGTTGGTAACCCGGTAACGCTGTAGGTTGATCGCATGCTGAGCCTCGTGAGCTGCTGTAGGCGGCTGATGGAAGGCGGTAGCGTGGGAACGCCGTCTGCCAGCCGTAGATCCAGATCAACCAATCCCGTGCAGGAATTGAAGATCTGGGAGACATCGGACGGTGAGATCGCCGCACGGCCGTTGCGCGCAGCGCTTCTGATTTCGTCTTCCTGCACGCGCGTCGCCAGCCGTCGATCGTACAGATGCATCGTGAGATGCGTCACGGACGAGCCGCATCCGTCGCAGACGGATCGCACGAGGTGGCGATCGACGACGTCCGTCGCGAATTCGCCGAGGTGCAGATGGCGAAGGTTCGGGAATCCCGAGGTGGGTGAGGCGAGGAGCGAGCCGAGAGTCTGCGATGAGAAATAACGGTCGTAAGGCACGACGATCGCGGGATGCACGGATCTGGCGACGCGCAGCCATCGCTTGCAGACCAGCGCGTGGCGAAAAGAGACGAACGAAGAAGCGGTAACCACACGTGCACGTGTGAAAGTGGTGTCAACCCACGCACTCTCCGACGGCAGAGGTTCGTCCAATGCTTTGCTGATCGCGTCTCGCAGAATGTCCTCGCTACTAGAATCAGAATCGTGGCCGTCGAATCTGGTGGTTGTCACGGATGCGGCGAGAAGAAGGATCGAGCCAAATAGGTCGTCAGAGAACTGGGGGAAGGGATCACCACACGTCATGATGTGCTGTGCTAGTGAAACTAGCTATTATCTGAAGCAAAGCCTGAGTTCGTGTCCGTAGGGATGACATGTCAACATTGGCAGTGTCAACCCAAAGCGCGAGGAATTAGAGTGTCGAGCACTGTAGCTTCAGTGTCAAATCGAAGCGCAGCAAGGCACCCTGCGACGGAAGCTTATTGGTTGGGCACGAGTTTGAGTACACATGCGACCCCTTGCACGAACTTGCAGTCGCACGAAGTTCAGCATCCGTCGATTAGGCAGGTGTGGTCGTCGGTAATCTCGATGCCATCAATGTGGTTGGTTGGTTAGTTCCTTTATTTTCGCAGAGCTGGAAGTCCGACGAATTTTACAAGCTGGCAGTTTGGTGTCGTTGACACTCTGCCAACAATGTTGGCAAGTGTCAAAATCACAAGTTGACACTCAAATGCTTGACATGTCATCTCTACGGACACGACCTGAGCCACCTTGAAATTCTAAGAAATCTACGAGGGACGGAGTGATGGTTGAGAAAAGCGTCACTGCGCGTTGGTGTTCAAATGGGTCAGTAGCGAGCGGTTCTAAGCGGTGAAGAGAGGGCACTGATGATAATGATGAAAGTATGAAAAAAAAACAGCGGTTTTTAACCCAAATCAACGCTTTTACTAATTGAGAAAACTCAATATACCTTTTCTATTTCATGCCGTGACACATAATATTGAATGCTAATACTGATGCTTACGGGATCCCTTCCAGCTTCAAAGCCAATCAATCACCAAGAGACCCTCAATGCATTATCCCTCACTCCCAAGCAACTCCTCCCCACCCACATTACCACCTCCTTCCCCAAGAACCCTTCACTGTAATCACATTCATCCTATCCACCAGCGAGCGTGGCAGCTTCTTCAGCTGAGTACACCCGTCCAGATCCACCTCCCTCAGACAGGACAAACTGCCCAAGTCGCTAGGTAAGGCCCTCAGCGCCTTGCAATTTTGAAGCGAGACTTGAATAAGTGATGGGAGGGAGAATGGAGAAGGGAGAAAACGTAGCTTGGAGAGACGATTGAGTTTCAGAGACAAAAGGCGGGTGAAGGAGGACAGAGATTTTGGAAGACAAGTAATTTTCGGACAGTAGATGATGCTGAGTTGTATGAGGGAGGAGAGCTGAGTGAAGGAAGAAGGAAGGTCCTGCGGGCTTTTACATGAATCCAAACCCAACTCATTCAGTGCCTTCAGCTGCCCTAGATTCTCGGGCAGGTGAGTCAGAAGAGGAAGAGACTTGAGATCAATCTGCTGCAGTTTGGGAAGGGTAACCATTGAGGAGGGAAGGGACGTCATGGCATGGCACTTCTCTAGTAGCAGCACTGCCAGCTCCCTCAAATCGCCTAGGTTTTCCGGAAGCGAGGGGAGGTTGGTGTTAACAATGTGAAGGTGCACCAGAGATGACAGGCGCCCCAACCCAGCCTGCCCTATGGATCCAGCCATCCTGGGAATCTCAGGCATAAGGGTGTGAGATATAGTCCTCTCTTCAGCTTCGGCTTTGGCTGGAGTTTGGGCGAGATTTGTGGGGGCTATAAGCTGCTGGAGGGAACAGAGGTCATACAGGTTCAAGTGACAAAGGCGGTCGAGGGAAAGGAAAGATTCTGGGAGGTAGTGGGCTGACTTGAAAACGTTTGAGACGATAACAGTCGATAAAGATTGCGGAAGGGAGATAGGAGCTGCTAGTGAGGGCGGCAAATGGGAGGAGGAGGAGGAGGACGAGGAGGAGGAGGAGGAGGAGGAGGAGGAGGAGGAGGAGGAGGAGGAGGAGGAGGAGGAGGAGGAGGAGGAGGAGGAGGAGGAGGAGGAGGAGGAGGAGGAGGAGGAGGACGGGAATGAAGAGACTGAGTTGATGCTTGAGGTGGAAAGTTTTAGGCTAGTGCATTTCTCGAGCGTGAAATGCTTCAGCCTAGGAAGCAGGTGAAGGCCTTCTGGAAGGTTCGTAAGCTTTGGGCAGGATGAAATAACCAGTTCTTCAAGAAGTGGGAGTGGATTCATGGTGTTGGTAAAGGAGGAGGTGTCAGCAGATGAGGTGGCAGCAGCTGAGGTGGCAGGGGATGAGACCACAGCCGCAGCAGCAGAAGCAGCCGCACCAGAGGTGGCACCAGGAGCATTCGATCCAGCAGCTGGGGCACCAGCCTCAGCAGAGAGCAAGAAGGACGGGAAGACCTTCAGCCGCTTGCACTTCTCCACTTTCAGGACCTTGAGGCTGCGCAGATTGCCCATGCCGCTTGGAAGCTCCAACAGAATCTCGCACTCGTGAATGATCAGCTGTTCTAGGCGTGTGAGTAATCCTGAAGGAGGAGGGAAACCCTCGCAGGAAGCAGGCTCCCTCCAGCTCAAACTCCTCGCTGTTGTTTCTCTTGGTCGTTTGCACTTTGAGGATTTCCAGGCTCGGCAGCTCCCCGAACCTATCAGGCAGGTACAGCACGGAGCAGTTGAGCAGCTCTAGTCGGCGTAGCTTCGATAATTTCTCAAAACCCAGAGGAAGGCGTGTAAGCGTGATTGCACCATAAATGAGTAGCGTTTCCAGTGAAGAGAGGTTGGTGAAGGAGGCGGGGAGCTGAAATAGGTCGAAGCATTCGTGTAAGACCAGCTCTTTCAGCTGCCCCAGTTGCCCGAACGAGTCAGGCAGGTGAGAACGGTATCTAGAAAACAGTTCAACGGTGACTAAGTTCTGGAGCTGCCCGATGTCCCCGGGCAGGCTTGAAAATACGCAGCCGTCAAGAATGAGGGTTGTGAGCGCTCCCATGGCGGATACGGACTCGGGGAGGTTGACTAGATTGCCGCACTCAACCACTTTCAACTCCTCCATCGCCGTAAGGAACCCCAGGGAATGCGGAAGAGCCGTAAGCTGATCAAGAAACTTCAAATGCAGCTGCTGAAGAGCGGCAAACCGGCCTATAGCTTCTGGCAGCGAGGATAGGCGTGGGCAATTGTGGATGGAAGCTGGGATTTCAGAAACACCTTTTCCGAATCTTAGATCCAGATTGACCAATTGCGTGCAGGAATTGAAGATCTCGGAAACGTCTGAGGCTGAGATCGGTGCGAGGCTGGTCGGCTGATCCCTGCTCGGTATTGACTGATAGCTTGTTCCACTACTGGATATCACTCGTCGGCGATCATACAGGTGCATTGTGAAATGGGTCAGCGATGAGCCGCATCCGTCGTAGATGGATCGCACGAGGTGGCGATCTACGATATCCGTCGCGAATTCGCCGAGGTGCAGATGGCGAAGGTTCGGGAATCGCAAGGTGGGTGAGAGCAGGAGCGAGGCGAGAGTTCGTGCGGAGAAGAAGCGGTTTCGAGGCACGACGATGGCGGGATGCACGGACCTGGCGACGCGTAACCATCGCTTGCATACCAAAGCGTGGCGAAAGGCAGTGAGCGATGAGGCTGTGGCGACAGGAGCTTCCGGTAACCCGAACAAGACGCCCTCGCTCGGCAGGCGCTCGTTCAACGCGTTCTCGATCATTTTTTGCAGAATGGGCTCGTTACTGGGACTGTCGTGGGTATCGAATTCGGTGCCCTTAGATGCGACGAGGAGAAGAATGGTTCCTAGCAGATCGTCTGAAATACTTGACACGGGATCATCATGCTTGCTGATTCGTTGCCGCCGTTCCGGCTGACCAGAGGGCGTAGGCTGTGGCTACTGAGGCATTTCCCCTTGCGCTAGCTCAAGGGTCGCCATAGGTTCGATGTTTTTAGCAGATGTGAAGTACAGTCGATGCTCAGCCTATCACAAAAATTTGCTTATCACAATTAGAAAATCAGTCACTCGCGAACGTTTTGCCTGTGAGTGGTGATTGTGCTGATTTCGGGGTACAGTCACCAAGCCGAGGAAGAAAAACATCTACACCTGGGCTCCAATAATTTCAAGGCCCGAAATCGGGAGCTCTCGGGTAGTTCTCCTTATCATGTCTGGGACCAAGGGCTGTACAGAGTGAAAAATAATTTAGAGTAGGTAATGTTTCGGACACTTTTTTGAGGGCGATGACGCTACGAAGTTCGCAACCTGAAAATTTGCCCAACAGACTGGGTGGTGAGCCTGATCGACTGAGGTTTTATTTTTTTTTAACTACCGATGAGAAGAGCGCTGTCAAATCTGTTTGATTCTGGGTGTGTGAAAGATACGGCCGGATCTGGTCTAGGGTTTCTCTGAAACCATTTTCCAGGGCTTGAAATTATTGGAGCCCAGGTGTACCGTTCATAAACAACAACGGCTGCCTGTCATCAGAATTGTTTACCTGGTTACGAACTTAAAGCCTTAGACTCGTTTCACATTCCAATTTCATTTTACAATCACAATTTTGCCCGTGGCGACAAGGGCGAGTGTGGCGAAATGCTCAAAATTCGTTTCACTCACATGCCGCCCGCCTACCTGGTGTTCTTGAAATGAGCACCGACTGTACGAAGAGTTAACACGAGAACAGCAAAACAGCGAGCTCAAATCAACTCTGAAGTCATAACGCAATACGAATTCTCGAGAGTCCAGCTTCTAGATCTGTGCGAGATACCACACGAGACCATCCTTGAATTGGCGATGAAGCAACCCTGGGGGTACCGAGGATGCTTGTGCAAGGCCGTCATTCCTCTTCGTTCACGGCTGACACTGGGAGTTACAGTGTGGAGCGAAAATGGTCTAAAGTGGCAAAACGCGTTCTCATCAGTTAATATTTTCGCAAGGTGGTAAACGAACACCAAACGGAAACTGTAACCGACCCCTAGGGTACACTCCAAAACACCTGAAACCTACCCAGCTCCAACCACCATACCAAGCCAGCCCGAACCAGCCACACCAAGCCAACCATCTCCAAACCATACCAGCCCAACCTCTGACACTTCCCAACCAGCCGCTTCGCGATCGTTTCGCGATGGGTCCATCCACCCACCCTGGCATTGATGGATCCGATCCGAACCGAACACATCACCCTCCCCATTGGTGGCTTGGATTTTCCATCAATGCCACGCAGCGGATACAACGGCCATTTTCAGGTGCATGCCGCACTGTAGGGAAAGGCTTCTCAGGTGCATGCTATCGCGTCGTGATTCTCCCCTTGTTGCCACTGTTTGTACCCATCCGCCACTAAAAACACTGTTCTGTCAGGGGATGCAACCCACGCGACTTACACCAACAGGCCCAGCTCTCGCACGAACTCGCCACACCAGTCACACCAGTCGCAGCCTTCCCCAAGGAAGGGGTGCGTGCGCAAAATCTGTGCGCAAGTCCCTTCCCCAACTCCCCCCGCTTCCCTCCAGCAAGCGCTGACTCCTGAAACCACCGACACTTCACTTTTGCACCAAAGGAACAGAGGACAGGCGGAAACCCTGATCCTGCACATCCGGGATCGATAGGTATGATTGTTTATAAGTAGATTCGCTGTCACATAAAAATTGTCAAGGACTCATAAACAAAACAAAAAAAAACGAAAAGTGTTTAGGGTTTCAACAACACAATGTGACACAAGTATAAACGATTTGTGTATTTTTTCACTAGGTTTTAGGGTACCTTTTTTTACCGTTCAATCATTATACAATAATACTTTGTGTATCCTGGTTTCCATAATTTAGAAACTACCACCATATTTAATTAGATAAATTCCTCCTTCTATATATCTATATATATTTTATTTATATGTGTGTGTATGTGTGTGTGTGTGTGTGTGTGTGTCTGTGTGTGTGTGTGTGTGTGTGTGTGTGTGTGTGTGTGTGTGTGTGTGTGTGTGTGTGTGTGTGTGTGTGTGTGTGTGTGTGTGTGTGTGTGTGTGTGTGTGTGTGTGTGTGTGTGTGTGTGTGTGTGTGCGCGCGCGCGCGCGCACGCACCCCTTCCTTGGGGAAGGCTGCGACTGGTGTGACTGGTGTGGCGAGTTCGTGCGAGAGCTGGGCCTGTTGGTGTAAGTCGCGTGGGTTGCATCCCCTGACAGAACAGTGTTTTTAGTGGCGGATGGGTACAAACAGTGGCAACAAGGGGAGAATCACGACGCGATAGCATGCACCTGAGAAGCCTTTCCCTACAGTGTGGCATGCACCTGAAAATGGCCGCGGATACAACCTCCGACGGGTTACCCTCGTCATGACGAGCCTGGTTTTCCGTCAACGTCACCTAGCGAAAGCATCCCCCGTCGGGCTACCCCATCATGACGAGCCTGGTTTCCCGCCAAATCTCAGCTTGATGGCCGCGTTGCTGCTGGCCAAGCCTCCCCGACAAATTCGAGGGCCTCTTTCATGGCTTAGCCACAAATTCAAGCGTGCTTGAACTACTATTTAGAAAACCAGCAGCCCTCATGCGACCATAATATTCTTTAGGCTTCATCTCGTATTACCTAACTCTCAGCTAGCATCCAAGGATAACGTGAAGCAAACTCCAGGGGAAGCATTTCTGCAACCGGGCTGCAAACCAGCCTTTTTCAGTGGCGCAAGCCGAAATGATTTGCGATGATATATTTTCCTGCATTTCTGACGACTTGCTGGGTGTGATCCTTCGGCTTGTTGCCTCTAATGGCAATAATTTCGACAGCCAGGATAACGAGGACATTCTGCAGAAGAAAATTGAGAAATTTTTGCGGGATCCGCCACCATGCGAGAGCCAGCGGTTAGGCACGATGACGGTTCCTCCAGCCGAGACGAGTTCCTTAGTCACGTTCAGCCACGCTCTGGTCTGCAAGCGATGGCTGCGCGTCGCCAGCTCCGTGCATCCCGCCATCGTCGTACGTCGAAACCGCTTCTTCTCCTCACAAGCTTTCGCCTCCCTCCTCGCTCCACCAAAGTCTAGGTTCCCGAATCTCCTTCATCTGCATCTCGGCGAGTTCGCGTTAGACTCTATTGATAGCAACCTCGTGCGATCCATTTGCGACGGATGCGGCTCGTCCCTGACGCATCTCACAATGCACCTGTACGATCGGCAGTTCTCGCCTTACGCGCATCACGGCCGCAGCAGACGCCATGGACAGTCGACCAGCCTCGCACCGTCCGATGTCGCTGCCATCTTCGATTCCTGCTCGCGATTGGTCGATCTCCAGCTGGATGGCGTTCAGGAGGTTCTTGCTGCCATCAGCCGTCTGCAGCAGCTCACGAGGCTCAGCGTGAGGTTAAGCGAAGGCGTTACCGGGTTACCAGAGGAGTTCGGCAGGCTGGTAGGACTCAAGGATTTGCAACTTCATTCGCGGCGTTCGTTTCGTACATCACCTGATCCCATATGCAGTCTCAGCTCCCTCGAGCGACTCACCCTTAGCGGCGCCGACATTTTGCATCTGCCCAGTGAATTGGGGCAGCTCCAGAATTTGAAGATCATCAGCCTCTCGTTTCTAGAAGAAGTCGTTGAACTGCCAGATTCGATTTGCGAGCTTTCAAGACTTTCGCGCCTTTCTCTCAACCAGTGCCCGAAGCTGACCAGGCTGCCCGAAAATCTTGGCCAGATTACCACTCTCGAGTACCTGCGCCTCGACTCTCTTGAAGAGCTCATCGTTCTTCCGGACTCCGTCAGCCTGCTCTCTGGCCTTACGGGGCTCAACATCGTTGACTGCTTCGAGTTGGAGGGTTTCCCGCAGTCTGTTTCCGCCATGGGGTCCCTGACCAGCTTCGTTCTCGACGGCTGTGCTGTTAGTGCGCTGCCCGAAGACATTGGGCAGCTTCAAAACTTGACATTGATGACGCTGTCTTGCTCTGGGCTCAGAAGTCTGCCCGAGTCTTTCGGGCAGCTTGGGAAGCTGAAGGAGCTGATGCTGCATGCTTGCTACGTACTGGCTGAACTCCCAGTCTCCTTCTCCAATCTCTCGTCACTGGAAACTCTGGAGATCTATGGTGGAACCTCTCTTCGAATGCTGCCTCCGGGGTTTGAGCAGCTGCTGCAGCTGAGGAGATTGGAGCTGTTTAACTGTGCCATCAGGGAACTGCCTGAAGATTTTGGGGACTTGGCGAATTTGAAGGAGTTTAAGGTTGGCACCAGGGATTTTTACACCAAGAGAGGGTTGGATGTTGACAGTCACTTAGCTGCTGGTCCCTGGAATTTGGAAGCGGAGGATGTTTCTGAGTCCGACTTACGCGGGTGGAGTGATTTTGTTTCTCTTCCGCAGTCCTTCGTTCAACTCACCGGTCTGGAGCAGTTGGTAATCGACAGATGCGAGGATTTAGAGGAGC